CATTTCGTCAATGGGAACTGTACGAATTGCCCGCTTTAAAACAGGCACAGTTGGATATATGGCCAATCAAAACTTCAACTCAACTAGAGAAACCACGATGGATAATTGTGGCATTTCAACGAAGCGGTAAAAAGTTTTCACACGAAGCAAGAGCCGCCAATTTCGATAACATCAATATTCGAAATTTAAAACTGCATCTCAACTCGGAAAGTTATCCGTACGAAGCGATGCATTTAGATTTTAATGCCAACAAATACATCATTGCATATCAAAACTATTTAAACTTTCGGCGCGATTATTACTCGAAAGATGAGCATCAAGACGCCCTCTTTGACTATTTGTATTTTAAAAGTTGCCCCATCTTTGTGCTGGACTGTTCAAAGCAAAACGAATCTCTGAAGCATTCGACGGTAGATGTTAAGTTGGAAATGGAGTCGATGGAGGCCTTCGAGGCGGGAACGGTTGCCTATTGTCTGATCCTGCACGACGCACTAATTCAATACAATCCTCTGACCGGGGAAGTGAAGAAACTATAATTTGTATTTATTTAAAATGTATAAATAAAATGTAATGATAAAAAATGTTCGTAGTCTTATTTCAACCGCGACCCCAAAATGAAGGTAGTGATTCAGAAGCAAAAGCTGCTCGTTCAAAATCTCGACACGACGCCAAATGTGGACCACAAAAAAACCCATGGCATATTACTTCCAAACAGCGTAAGATGCGTCATTTGTGGGCCGTCCAATTGTGGGAAAACAAATACGATGGTCAGTCTGCTAACTGAACCTAATGGTCTTCGCTTCAAACACGTGTACGTCTATTCCAAATCGCTGAATCAGGACAAATATAGGGTTTTGGGGGAAATTTTGCAACCAATGAAGGATATTGGCTTCTTCACATTCAATAAGAACGCGGACATTATGGAGCCCAGTGCTGCCAAACCTAATTCGGTTTTTATCTTTGACGATATCGCTTGTGAAAAACAGGATAACATTAGAGCATACTTTTCAATGGGCAGGCATAACGCGATCGATTGTTTCTACTTGGGTCAGACGTATTCTAAAATTCCTAAACAATTGATTAGAGATAATGCCAACTTAATTGTCCTATTCGAACAGGACGACTTGAATTTGCGACATATTTATGAAGATCACGTCGCACCCATAATAACCATGCAGCTGTTTCGAGAGATGTGTTCGGAAAGCTGGCGAACCCCGTATGGGTTTATGGTGATAAATAAGGATGCAGATGTGCAAAACGGTCGTTTCAGGAAAGGCTTCGATCACTATATAATACCGTGAAAACATGTTTATTGTTCAGTTCAACTGTAACGGCTTTAACAGCTTTAACAGCTCTAACAGCTCTAACAGCTTACAGTTTTAACAGCTGAACAGCTTTAACATCTGAACAGCTTTACGAACAGCTGAACAGCTTTAACGAACATCTGAACGGCTTTACGAACAGCTGAACAGCTTTAACGAACAGCTGAACAGCTTTAACAGCTGAACAGCTTAACAGCTTTATTGGGGAACAGACCCTGTTCCAGTTGATCTGTTCATTTCATATCGGTTTACCTGTTCCGTTGATCATGGATAATAAGGAGATGGCCTTGAAACGAAGAATAGTTCAGGCGCGTAAAGCGATACAGCAAAAGTACAATCGTCTCAAAGCGGATCGTTTTATTAAAGAAGTGGAATTTGTACGAACGTATAAACCGCTAATTCAACCGCTAGCTCAGATCGTAAAGAAAATCGAACCGCCATCATCGGTTATAGAAACGAAAAAGGAGGAGCCATCAGAGGACGAAGTATTTACATCACCCCCTAAAAAACGTCAATCTCCTGTAAAAAGAAAGTCACCACACCAACGTACGACTCCTGCGATACCTTATTACTCGCGAGTGAGACGAAGGCCCTCTTCCCTTACCGAGATCAGTCCGCTGGCTAGACTTCCCTACTTTCAAAAATATCCGCCAACTGATATTAGTCCTATGGTTAGACCTTTTCACCCCACGGCTACTCCATCTTTGAGACAGCCGCCATCATTTCTACAGAGTACAGTGATAGGAGAGCATCAACTGGAGGAAGAAGAAGACGAGTCCTCTATTGCATCAGAATCATCTGCTTCATTACTTGATATGCAAGGTTCGCAAGCCTTTTTGGAACAATACAAACACCTACCACGTATATACGTTGAGCGCATGATAAGAGATACGAGTAATGCAATTGACACCACCTTTGGAATTCATTATAATGTCGAAACGGATAAGTGGAGAATGGGCAAGACTGAGGTGACGATAGATGACGAAGATTTGGTCATTAACGGGAACCGGTACAAAGGTACTGCGGGGCTATACGAACTTATCATCATGAATGAACCGGATGAATCGCTAGTATCCAAGCAGGATAGAAGTAACTATAAGCAGATAATAATAGCAACTCATGTCGCACGGCGCAATTACGACCCCACAGAACAGATTCGTGGCAATAAGAGCAAAAAGTATACGCTTATAATAAAGCCTCTACTAAAGGAGGAGGAAGCGGCGAATAGGGGGCGTGCGAAATCGGGAAGCGGTATTACTCTATTCAAGGAACTCGACCGGCCGATCGAATTCAAATACTGGAATAGCGTGCATGAATTGATTAGAGACCTAGAGGTTTTATGGGGTGAAAAAATGGCAGGCAACACAGGAGTAAAAAATGATATAATATCAATCGTGGAAGAGCTGTACGAGGAGGGTTACATACAAAAGCCCACGCAGCGATTTTTACGTCAACTAGTATAAATACCCCATTTCCGTCTTCCCCGCCTACATTCATCATGGATAAATTCGGACGTTCTCATACCCATGCTCAATTTGGAAAATTGCTAAAGACAAAATTTTCCATTACCGACGATACTATAAATGTGGAACGTAAGAGACTAAGTAATGTTGAGGATCCTATTGAACGTCATGATGCTCTAACCTTACAACATTACCTATCAACAAGACTGGATCTCAATGGAAATCGTTTGATGAATGTGGCCGATCCAGTAGACGATGGCGATGCCATAAATAGAGGATACTTCATGTATTACATGCAGATTGCGAAAGTACCTGTAGACGGTCTTCGTAATTACGTGGAGGCACTAGAGGAAGAGTTGAAGGCGGTCAAAGCAACCCTACATAAACTAATAGAGGATGCAGCAAGTGGTAAATGAGCTACATAAAGCAGCACGAAAAAACTTCCCACGTAGACGTACCATCATTAAGGGATTTGATGATCTTTGGCAAGCCGATTTGGCCGAATTTATACCTTACGCTAAACAGAATAAAGGCTACAAATACATACTGGTAGTTATCGATTGTTTCTCAAAATATCTGTGGACGAGAGGACTGAAGACTAAAACGGGTGAGGAGGTGACAAAAGCCATACAGGCTATTTTCAAAACTACCAGACGTAGACCGAAAAATCTACAGACCGATGCGGGGAAGGAATTCTACAACAAATCATTTGACAAACTGATGGCGCGAGAACAGATTAATCACTATTCCACGTACAGTACAAAAAAGGCTGCCATAGCCGAAAGAACAATTAGGACGATCAAAAATTATTTATACCGACAGTTTAGTCTACGTGGAAAATATGTATGGATTGATGCAATTGAATCAATCACGAGCGAGTATAATAATCGTAAACATCGAACAACGGGGATGAAGCCGATCGAAGTAAAGGCCGATACACAGCTGAAGGCTTACAGCCACATCAAGCTCTTCAACAAGAGACATCGTTTTAATGTTGGCGATGTAGTTCGAATTAGTAAGCACAAGAGTGTGTTAGCCAAGGGATATACTCCGAACTGGTCCAGTGAACTGTTTAAAATTGCAAAAGTGCAAATAACCAATCCGGTGACGTACTTGCTGGAAGACATGAAAGGAAAGCCGATATTGGGAGGCTTTTATGAGCAGGAACTGCAAAAAGTTAAGTATTCCGATATCTATTTGGTGGAGAAGGTGCTGCGACGTAAGAAAGATAAAGTGTACGTCAAGTGGTGGGGACTGGACGAAAAATCTTGGATAGAAAATGATAATATCGTATTGTAATTTTCGCTGTAAATTAATAAATAAAGAAAACAAAAGCTTTTTTGATCTTTTTTTATTTTTCCTTCCAATTACCATACAACATATTTTTCATTTTTTCTAGTAAAGCTATCGTTATTGACAATTTTTTTAAGAATATCGTACGTTTTCTGGTAATCGTTCAGCAGCGTCGAGGGCCATACGCTGCTATCTGGCCCACACCTCCAACCCAGTAGAGCGTTAGGATCTTGTGTACCGGTTCTTATATTTTTCAATAGCCACTCGTAGATTTTCCGATGGCGAGCATCTTGCCGTGGACTAAAATTATACCTAACATTCGACTCTTGGCAAACATCAATAAATATTTGCAGCGCATTAAAGTTTGCGTATTCTGCCGCTGTGCATATAGCATCGTTAATGACATACGAACTATCTTTATACATACTACTATTAAATACATTATTTACACTATTTGCTCTTAAATCTGCTATAAAAGTTGTAAAATACAATGGTACACTAGGAGCATGAGCGTCAGCAAAACGATCACCGTTTACACGGGAATAATGGTTCATTAAATTATCCAATTCAATCTTTTTATGAAATAGTAATTTAACCATTTCCTTGCACACATTTTTTGATATTGCGCACCAGTTAAAACACTCATCCGGAATAACAATGCGCTGTAAAATGTTGTTAATGAAGAAGTAAGTCTCGATAGAGAACGAAGTGGTGTTTAATATAGCGCACTTTAAATGTCCGAAGTATATTGCGTGCGAAGCACGAAAAATGTCTTGTTCCAATTTTCGATCATTACTTTCCATGCTACTATTACTGCTACTACTGCTGTTGCTCGTCATCACACACACACGCACACACCTAAATTAACAGAAAAAGAAAATTATAACACAAGGTGAAAGAGGGTTGTGGAATATTGATACAATTAAGTGAGAGAGTTATATCCCCAAGGACGAGTGTTAATACAATCGGGATCAATTTGTCGTTTATCGTCATGTGGGCTTAAAACAATCTTGTTCTGTTCAATGGTGAATACTGCATGTTTTTGCGATTTTATTAGATGCTGAGACCGTTTCAAGATTGCATCGTTAAACAAACAGTTTTTGTAGTCCTCTAAAGTCAGTTCACGGATACTGGCGAAAGTTGCACCTTTTGATTTTTTCAATACTTTACCGTCTACATAATAAGCATACATTTTTGCCCTTAGCCCTACGAACTCTAACATTATTTTACCATTGTTCTCGTCTTTCATCAGACCGGGAACTTTTTTGTTAACCAGGGGTATGCCAAAAGCGTTATTAGGACTATAAGCCGAAGTATCAAATCGAGCAATGTTTTCTCTTATCGACTGATAAATGTCGGAAACTGCGAATGAGTATATCAAGCTATCAGTGTCGGTGTATAAGAGTTTTGCGCGATTTTTGAATTCCCTTAAAACAAAATTGTAGTGAAAATCGTAAAGAAACGTTTTTGAAACGTCTAAAACTGCTAAACCGGCATAAATAGGTTTATTGAGCAGCACTTCTAAACGGTTCATTTCTATAATGGCTATGTCCTCATTATCGCCGAAAAGAGTGCAACTGTTAAAGTTCGGCTTCGATATATACGCCCCAGCGCCGTACCGTCCTTCCCATGTCGTTACCAAATGCACATCTTTATATTTCCTTACATTTTCCATTAGTTTTCCATATACACTGTTTACCATTAGCTTGTAAAAGTGTATCTCAAATTCATTACTAGATTCTTGCCGCTTTTGCGTATTTAAATCGATATACTTTTTTAACCAAGGCGATTGTCGAAATTTTAATACGCGATTAATTTTGACGAGTTCTAATCCCTGCTTTATGTACAGTTTCAAATTTCTATAATGCAACACATAGTTCTGTTTCGAATACAATGTTAGCATTAATTTCTTAAAATTAGAATGAGGAGGGTTTCTGTGCTCTGGTGCCAGAGGAAGATCATTATGCAATTGATGGAGATTGGGCGGATAATTTAAGTCGCAATCCAAAATGTAACCGATTTCTGCATCATCAGGGTGGTTCAATATATCTAACGTTTCAAAAGCATCGTCATCTACAAAGGAAAACTCTCCGTAGGGCAAAAATTCACACATTGTGGCACCATACAGGGAATTGACATCAAAATACATCAAGTAGATCGATTCAAGATCTGGACGATAGTCATCTTTCATGTATTTATTGTTAGCCTTCGCGTATCTAGTGGAACATTGAGTGATACCACCTCGAATACCCTTCTCAATGAACATAACTTGATCAATATCTGTTAGAAGTTCTAATTTAATCTCGGTAATTTTGAGCATGGCATCGAATGCGAGACCAGGTGCCGTGTAATAATGCAAGGGATCCAGTTTATAAGTTTGTAGACAAGTTTCACGAAAATTTTCAAATATATCCGCTAAAAGTAGCACGTCTGTTTTCAAATACAAATCCGAAAATTGACCGAGGGTTTGAATCGAAAACAAGTTCCATACTTTTAAAGCATGATCATAATCTTCGTCGGTGATGCCTTCGTTACGCAATGTACTAAAAAAATTATCTTTTGGCGGTAACTGAGTTTCGTTTAATTTTTCCCAAGAGTCTACGTATTCGTAGGGAAAAACACCCTTTCGTATGACCAAATTAAACTCGGACTCGTTGCGACTTTGCGAACGCGTTATCGTTTTTTTATCATTTCCTAAATACGATGACAATTTTTCTATGCTACTGCTCATAAACCTAAAGGAGTCGATAAATCGAAAATTAACCTTTGTACCCTCTACGTATTTCGTAAAGGAGATATACTTCTCTTTGTTTAAAGGTAAAAGTTTTATTTGTCCAGGCATACCGGTTGCAAGTTCGCGGATGATGAAATGTGAATCGTATCCACTTAGATTATGAAATACCACCGGTATGGCATGATTATTTTGATAGTTTATATTGCATGCCTGATGTGATGCGCCCCTGTATTTGGACGTAAAATGGCAATGATCTCGGCACCGAATTTCGTTTTCGGAAAACACCTTCTCGCATATGTGGCAATGAGTGGCGCTCTCAAAATCTTGTTGCTGTTTCTCACTCAATCTTTCCATCGGTCGAGGGTTGTTAATAATTGTATTAGTCCACATCGCGATACTTCGTAGATGGTTAATAAACCAAGTTACGCAATCCTCACCTCTATAGGACCAAAACTTCGAGATCGATTCGTCATACGCACATTTCAAATAAAAAGCTATGCCGTAAGGTACATGCCTTTGAAATAGGTTAGTGTTTTTCCCTGTATAGTAAATTGTATCACATTTTTCCAAAATGCTTTCTATATCCGCGTAAATTGCAAACGGAACTTTTTCCTTATTAGAATAATGAGAAAACTGTACAATTTTTTCAGATTCTCTAGGCAATCTTACCGCACATTTATTTACTTGATGACAGCGAATTGTATGCTTTTCCAGTAACTGATTCGAAGAGAAGTGATTTAAGCAGATGTTACAGAAAAATTTTGCATGTTCCCTTCTCGACAATTGCGACGATAATAAACGTGATAGGTTTTTTATCCACGCAAAATGATAGTATTTAGAATTAGCGCCATTTGTATCAGATGATAAGACTAGTAAATTGATCGTATCTGCTCGAGGTTCGCGATTTCTACTTAACATAAAAGGAAGTACGTTTCTCTTTTCTAAGCAATACAAGTTAATGGCGAGATTATTCAATCGTTCGAACTTCTTTATATCGGGTACCTTAATAGGGAATTCAATATTTCCACGGTTCAAAACAGCATCGAAATGGGGGTAACTGAAAGGTCTATCGGGGTTAGATTTCGCGGGATAAAGGGCGGAGACGACCGACCACAAAAAACAATACTTGTCATTATTTCTAACATTGATAACCGCTCTCTTAAGTGCTATAAAACGAGGGATTTTAATATAGGTGGAAAAGCGTCCTACTCTAATGGGCATGTATTTATTTATGTTTATTTTTACATATAATACCTCCCTTAAACTCCAGCCAGATTGACACTCTTCAAAGCCCTCAAGCTTCCCTCGCAATCTATCAATTACCTCCTTCCGATACCACTCTTTTAGATTACTACCGACATCAAGAACGCTATTTTTTGTGGCAAACGTCTTGAGATCTATGATAAGATTTTGAGGATGTATGAAATCGCATGCAAGAACCACGTTTACTTTTAGCATGGATTGTCTTAACATTTCCCTAACCTTTCGTGCAATGTTATTAAACGCCCTATCCAAAAATATTAAAGGATCCTTGTATATCGTATTTACAATAATACCGGTAAGTATTCGACTCTGAAAGCAGGAATTTAAAGTTTGCCAAATTAGGGCACGAGATTTGGAACCGTTGTTACTAGAAGGACTGTTAGTAGGGGTATCACTTATTCCACAACCCCCTTTTTTTCCCGAAACCTTTTTCAATTGTTGAAGTAACCTAACCAGATAAAATTTCAAAATTCCTAGATTACTTTCTAAAGTACTGGGGTTTTCTAGGCGATTGTCTAAATGAATTCTATTATTGATTGCATTTTGTATCAATGAAATATTTGTCCTTAATATCGAAATATGTCTCAACATTTCCGGTTTATGTTTTAATAATGAAACAGCTTTTCGGGTCAGCTTAACTATTTCACTACTAAGAATTGCAACGGATGAAGATTCCATTGTCACTACTTACAGGAATTGTCTATCTAAAGAACTATTTCTTTCTCGGAAAAAAGATATGTGAGTACTGATATCCTTGTCACAGACACCTCGCGTACGTACAATCGACACTGTTGATGGTGTATTGCACTCGCACGACGTCCTATACTAGCCGCGGGGGGATTTGAAGATGCAAGTAATGTTAGTATCGTCACCTTATATATAGACCAGGTGTTCAGGGTCAAATATGCACAATCAGCTGCACTAGTGTGGGAAGTATCAGAATCATACGATCTATCGTTCTCACTCATTAACACAATCTTTCTTTAGTTTTTCGCAGACGTTACAACAATTTTACAATATATACTGAAAATTTTCCCCACACTTTATTATTAGTTAGCATCGAGCTCTGCAGTGTAGTAAACGTAATGCCTTTACCTTCACGAAAAATTCCAAAAAAGTCGGACCGCGCGCCGAAAATAAAAAAGGTCGAGATACTGCAATCCTTATTAATAAAACCACCGACAGCGACGACCAAAACTTTAACAAAACGACCACCACCATTGGAGACGAAAAACGCGCCGCCAACACCTAAAATGGATTCAGCGTCTCTGCCAGTAGTAAATAATGGAGGTCCATTATTGGACGAGGAAGTGATAACAATCTATTCGGATAATTCTACAATCGCGTAAGTATACAATATTTATGATTTTTTTCTAAAAGTTATTTTCTACCTCTTTCTCGTTATGTTAAAATGTAATTGCTTTTTACAGAACCGGCAACTTGGGTGATAGTTTGGAGCTAGATCTTCTGTTGGCCCAGTTGGAAGGGGACCCCGCTGCTAGTTTTATGTTCGAACCAGCTCGGTAAGTAAAAATGTATTTTTTCTTTTCTACGTGCTTATGATAAAATTCTCTGATTTCAGAATAATTCCAACACCGATACTATCCCAACCAATGCGGTCGCCTACACCACCACAGCCACCGCTACCACCTGCACCGGTGTTCCCACCTCCTCAGGCAGAACGACCTGTCATGCAAGCGGGCCAAAAACGACCGTAAGTTTATATCACA